CCTTTGGACACGTGGCATATGACACATGGCATCTGTCACGTGGCACAAAGAGGGTTTAGGTTCTGCTTCATGGTGTTATCCTATGGTAAATCACCATAGGATAAAGGGTAAAAACCACGTGCGCTACAATTGCGAAGTATGTGAACTTTCAACATTCTAATTGGGATGGTTATTTGCCGTCTCTTCAATATGCATATGTCACAGGGGTGTAGAGTTTTGTTGGTGCTTCACCATATAAACTCCTATATGGTCATGATCCAATATTATCAACAAAGCTAGGTTTACCTTCGCAATTGCCACGAGCTGCCGATGTTAGGTCGTGGGATCAGTATTTGACAAGCATTCTTCCACTTGTCCAAACTGAGTCTGCCGAACACTTAGGTTACGTATAAGTGGGACAACAACGGCGCTACAACTCTTATCATCGTTCACCTGCAGAGTACAAAGTGGATGATTTGGTGTTAGTCCATTTTCCCCATCTTACAGTACGTGGTTTATCTAAGGGGCTTCTTGCGCAGTGGAAATGACCGTATCAGGTGTTGCGGCAAGTTAGACCACAAGTTTATGAGGTTCGGCATGACGTCCAACAGGCCGATCCTCCAGAGATTGTGCATGTGCAGCAGTTGAAACACTTCATACAAAAGGATCAGGAACAATTAATACCACTTACAGATCTGCCGATGCCTCCTCTTGACGTTCCTCCAGATCCCGGCCCGTTTACAAGAGAACCCTGATGGTTTTCCATTATTCCAAGAGGAGGGGATGATGTGAGGGCCAAGTGTATGGCTACTATGCCGTATATTAATATTAGCATAGTGGGATTTTGGTAGCCATTGGATTGGTTTCAATCCAAACCACTCGCTTCTATATATAAATTAGGGTTTTTGGGGCATATTTTTTATATTCCCTTTCCATATTCCAAACACTCACAAAAGTAATTTTCATTAAATTAATGAAACAAATTTTGTAAATTTTGAAACTAATCACTTAATTTAATATATTAATTAAAATATAAATATACTTAGATTCATATTTAAAGATACTATTATTATTTAATAGCATTATAATAATATTTTTAGAAAAATAATAATAAATTATTATTTTTAAGAATGTTTTTGATAAACACAAGATTTATCTAATGGTATAATAGTTAGAGCTAGAAGGTGTTTGGGAAAATTTTATAAATTATAACCATGTTTAAATTTAATGATAAAATTATTATAAATAAATAATAGCCATTAAATTACTATTACTATTCTAGAATATTCAACTATATTTTAGGTATATCAACTACCAAGATGCAAATGAACCATTTATAATATAAAATTGGGAGTTGGATATAAAGAAAGAAGGGGAATAATCAAAAGTTTTCTTTTCTTTTTCTATTTTTTGAAATTTTATTTTATTTTACTTGTGGTACATCAAGCCTTTTTTTTAGATAAATAATAATAAATTGTGACACATTACATTTTAGAAAAGTTGGGTTTGCTTAGTTTGTATTATAACAAATTATTATGATTTATGTATTACAAGAAAATGTTTTTCCTAGTTGAGCATATAAACCACACAATACACTTTCCATCATGTTTAAGAACTTTTTTAACAACCACAAGTTTAACCTAATGGTATAAAAGCTAGATAAGCTAGAGTATGCTTTAATCATAAATTATAAACACGAGATTAATCTAAAGGAATAACAACCATTAGATGGTAAAAAGTTCTAAAATATCTAGGTATATCCACTAAACAAACAATAAACCATTGAGAATATATGGGGAATAATCAAAAGCATAAAATATGTTAATGAAATTTACATTTTATTCTACTTCTGGTTTTTCATCAAGCCTTCGTGGCCAGCATTGCTGTTGCAACTCCAGCGATTCCACCAGCAAGAGCGATGCTTCCTCCGTGCTTCATTCCAAATTCAGCAACGTTGACACAAGAATTGACGGCAGCATAACCCTTTCCATAGATTTCCTTGCCGACGATGTTGTAGATGGCGCGAAGTGGAGCGAGCATGGCGTGGTATGCATATGGGAGGTACTCAGTTGCGCCAATGGCATCAAAGAGGGAGTCCAGGAACCACTCGCTGTGAGAGGGAGCCTCCACGTTGTTAACCATGATGTTGCCGGAGAGAGTGAATGGGTTGTAGAGACCCAGCTTCTCCACCTTGGAAAGTTCTATAATTGTCAAAAATAAGAGCAAAGTCTCAAAGGAAGTATGATGTTACTAGTGATTTGAGATGATCCCCAGAGAGTTTCTCCAACCTAGAGATCCTTGGCTCTCTTGTACACAAGCTTTCCCTTAGCGTCGACTGGGATGAAGTGGCCCTCGCTAAGCTCGATCATGTCTGAGGTGGTGTGGACCTGGATGAACTCGGAGATCACATCGGCGTCCTTGTGGCCGAATGCGTAGACATCCGAGAACACGTTTTTGCTCACTGCAACCTATAGATCTGGCACGTTTAGATGGGCTTTCGAGAAACTTAAGAGCAATACAATACCTTGTCTCCAATTTCGAGATCTCTCATGAGTTTGAGGTCGCCGCATGTTCATTATAAAGATTAACTTTTTATATAAAGAATGAAAGCAAAATAAAACGAGTTATGGAGTTTCAAGGAATATTCTAAGAACCTTGCCCTAAAAGTGTCTATAGCTATCGGTGGATCTGCCTAGCACACTCGCGGATAAGTGGATCTGCCCAGCACACTCGCAGATAAACTCTTGCTCCTGGTTGGGCGGCATGTTCTGGCGGCGGCTTTTTGGAGGTGAGTGAGTAGAAGAGCGCAAGAGCGCAGCTAACATTGGAGTTGCCCGCGGATGTGGCACGCTCACGGAAACTCGAGCTCGGGTTCGAGCTCGGCCTCGTGCTCCTGCTCCTCCTCTCAAGCTCGTCTACGATAACACCACCACCTCCTTGTTCCTCTTCTGCGATATCTGCTACAACCGGCAGTTGACTGCATGCGGCTGCCCCGACACGACGTTGCTTGATCACCTGAGCTACGCTCATGGAAACATCTGCCCCAAGCAGCGTCGTACACATGCAAATGCCCTTTACTGGGGAGCGCCTTGGAGCATTCCAGCCTACTTGTACGACAACGAAATGGAGCCTTCAATGACGCCGCTGGAGCCATGCCAGATCAGGAGCATCGAAGCCGTGGGCTGCATTTCCACGTTCGAGCTCGGCCTGCGGTGTCGGGGTCCTCCGGCGGAATTCGTGATCGATGGAACTTTAGGAGAGCTTGATGCTAAACAAGTCCTCGTCTATAAGGAATCCATCTGGCAGAATCGGGTCTCCACTGGCTACATCCTTCTGGCGGTTCCCACCAAGGCATTGCAGTATGGCTCTCTGGACTGGGTCGTCAACTACGACGACTTCCGGGGCATGCCCATGACACTGTCGGCCAGGAAGTTCGTCCAGGCGTCTCATGACCGTGGAGAGGATCCTGTCAAGGAGCTGAACGCTGTGGACGCGATCGGGATCAGAAAGTGCGTCGTGGTGGATCTCCGCGGTATTGGCATCAATAGAAAGATGGGCCTCTTTTTCGCCGAAGATGCTCTATACGACGTGCTGGCGTGTGTGGCTGGCACCAAGCTTGTCCCTGCCAAGGCAGTCTTTGACGATCGTCTTTGGGACAAGCTTGGTGTCCAGGGCAGGGTGGCCAAGGACGCGGCCGTATGTGACATAATGCATTCAGAGGGAATAACAGAGATGATGTTGCTCAAGTCGCAAGTAAATCATTCTTCCTTATTACTCGTGAAGATTAATTCCATTTCATTTTTTTACAGGATTGTGGGGGTACATTGGACAAGGTCACCAATTCTCAGGACACAATGCTGCTCGAGCCAAAATCTAAGGTAAATCACTTTTCTTGTCATGCCAGAATATCAGGTAAATCAGTATCGTTTCTGTGATGCTTACTACTGTTCTTTCACAGACTAAGGTTGGTGAATGTTTATTCTCCACTGCTGTGCTGGCTGCTAATGCAAAATACATTCCGTGCTCAAAAACCAAGTGTGGCGGCCTTACAACGATGCTTTGTGAAAATCCAAATTGCTTAGCTAACAACGTGATGAGATGGGCAACACAGGCGATGTTTAGGATCATTCTCGGCAAGCAAATATTTTTAGCTTTTAATCTAAAATGTTTTTGTACTTTAAGAGCGGCATTTACAAAAGGACCCTGGGACTAAACTGTCTACGTTGATCCAAAGTAGGAAATCAATGTACAACATTCCTATCATGGTATTATATTATATCATTTGAAATTTCTTATAAATTTTATTCTTTATGTTTTTTAGGAAGTGCTGGAAGCTTTACAAACAGCTAGGATTCTTAAAACTACTGAATTTGAACTTCAACATATAAGACGTATAGCACTTGGGATGAGCCTTAAGTATTCTGAGTCAGGTTATTTTATTTTTTCTACAGATTCAAGGTTGGCTGGATTGGATGATTATTTGGCAATTTTTCATCATCATACTTTGTGAGTTTTTTATTTTTATATTTAAGTATCTAAATATTTATGTTTAGGAATATGGACATTTTATAGCAAAAATTGGGTTCAACTTCAGTGATGATGTAAGTGTGATATGTCCAGAAGCTGAAAACTGGTTGGAAGTTAGATATTTCTTTGCTGTTTATGCACTGTATTGAAGATATGAAAAACATTGATATGGTGTTAAACAATCAGTAGGGGTTATATCTTAAATATTATTTGATATTTACGGTTTAGGGTAATATATTTTAGAATATAATGATAAGTATAAATCTAGATTAAGCATTAAATTTAATATTTAATAGCTATAAAATGAGATATGTCTTAGTTCTAGCTCCTCCTATATGTAGATGACTTGAAAAAAATCAATATGTACAACATAGAAATTTCTATTTATTCTTTACACTTTTTTTGTTACAATTCTATCTATAACAATAAAGTGATAATGGCCCAAGGCACACAGGTTGTCCAGTTGTAGGCCTTGAGGCAGGTTCAATTTGCATGATTTCAATAAAAAATTTATGGATGTTTGTTTAGCTAATGGAAAGTTAGTTTATCACTTACTTAAGTGAGATAATATAGATTGTCCATTTAGATTTGGTAGTAGATATTTAGAATATATTTAAATATTCTAGGATATTCTACCATTTAATGCTAGAACATTTAATGGTTAATGTGTAATAAATTTAATCTCGTGTTTAGAAATTATAAACTTCCTATCGATCAATTAGATTAATAAATAATAAGCACTACTATTAAACAAACAAAGCATTGGTACACCTAAAGTGTAGCAAATCATTTTATATTTCTTTTGAAAATTCTGATTTTTGTTTACTTAAACTCTACACAAAGTAAGAGGCTTTAGATTCAAACATTAAATTGCATAACTGACTTAGATGGTCCCTAACAAAGATGATGCAATTGTTAGAAGGCATCATCACAATTATCAACATTTCTAAATGCATGCTTGAAGACATTTGGGAGGAGGTTCCACACTTAAACCATTGTACCACTACAACAATGTCTTTTGGAGATATGTGAAAAACTTGTGTAAATATTAGATATCATTTCAAAAATAATAATTGGCAATCAATGTAAAGTGATTGAACCAATAATCATTATCATCTTTGGGATTTCTACAAAAAACTTTTTACCAGATATAAAGATGGGTAGAAAGAGTTAGAAGAGTTGCACCATTTGCCATGAATATCACCATCAACTGAAATTAATTATTTAGTTGCAACCACATAACATCAAATAATTAAACTAATTATCTAAACCAAAAACTTGATCTAAATTAAAAACATAAATCTAAGCATTCCTCAAAGACAATCAAGGCTACTCTTCAACTCCGTCAATATGAGTGCATCGAATATAAAAATTTATATCACATGATTTTTACCTTTTATCCTATGATGATTTACCATATGATAACCATGAAGCACATGTGCCATATATCACATGCCATGTGTCCTAAGGACAATGGTGCAAAACTTGAGTTTCAGGGCCTTAAGCCATTGAATGAAGGAATAGTGCCAAACTCCTAAGATAGGGTTAAAAGGGTAATGGCACAAGAGCACAGAATGGACTCTTGAATGTACAGCCCAAAAAGTGAAGGGATAGGAATGTGAAACAACTTAAAACAACATTAGAGCATTTACCATCCCAATGCTAAAATTAACACGCAAAACAAAACCAAATGAAATTTCATATTATTTCAACATATTAGTAGTCTAACGCGAGGATATAAATACTCCACCAACTAACATGGTATAGAATTTAAGCTTACACCCAATCCAAACACAAAACAATGACAAAAACACAAACAAAAGCTAAATTATACCTTAGGTTGGTCAACTATGCCCAACTATCTTTACTATACATTTAAAACCCCCTATACAATTGAGAAACTTAACATTTATGCATCTTTGTGATGCATGTCATGAAATGAAGCTTTTGTTTGACATCACACAGTTTCTTCACTCATTTCTTTCATTCTTGTTCTGGAGATTTACATTGACCTGATCTGGATTGTGATTATTTCTCTCTTATTTACTCCTGATTTTTGCTCAAGCCTTCGTGGCCAGCATTGCTGTTGCAACTCCATCGATTCCAATGGTGAGAGCAATGCTTCCTCCGTGCTTCATTCCAAATTCAGCAACGTTGACACAAGAATTGACGGCAGCATAACCCTTTCCATAGATTTCCTTCCCAACAATGTTGTAGATGGCACGAAGTGGAGCGAGCACCGCCTGGTATGCATATGGGAGGTACTCAGTTGCGCCAATGGCATCAAAGAGGGAGTCCAGGAACCACTCGCTGTGAGAGGAAGCCTCCACGTTGTTAACCATGATGTTGCCGGAGAGAGTGAATGGGTTGTAGAGACCCAGCTTCTCCACCTTGGAAAGTTCTATAATTATCAAAAGTAAGAGCAAAGTCTCAAAACAAGTATGATGTTACCAGTGATTTGAGATGATCCCCAGAGAGTTTCTCCAACCTGGAGATCCTTGGCTCGCTTGTACACAAGCTTTCCCTTGGCGTCGACTGGGATGAAGTGGCCCTCGCTAAGCTCGATCATGTCTGAGGCGGTGTGGACCTGGATGAACTCGGAGATCACATCGGTGTCCTTGTGGCCGAATGCGTAGACATCGGAGAACACGTTTTTGCTCACTGCAATCTTTAGACATGGCACGTTTAGCTGGGCTCTCGAAAAACTTAAGAGCAATACAATACCTTGTCTCCAACTTCGAGATCTCTCATGAGTTTGAGGTCGCTGTTATACATTTGGACGGTGGCGTCGCCTGTGTTTTGATTGCGAACATAAAGCTTGTGACTGGTTGTAAAATCGCTTGCAGAGTCTTACCTGGGAAACATGAGTTGTTGGTGTTGGTAGCTAGAACAGCACTAGCAAGAACAGCGAAGAGAGAAGTAGCAAAGAGAAAAGTGTGAGCCATAGAGAACTCTACACTATGGAAGCCTAGAAAGATAGGAAAAGGAGCTCTAGAACCGATGTTAAATACTACAAACGAGTGCCTATGACATGAGGCTAACGGATCAAGTTGGTGATCCTAAAACTTTGATAGAAAGAATTATTTAATTCTAAGTACATATTTGAGATGCCGCATAATCGACTCACTAAAGAAATTAAATGTTCATTATAAAGATTAACTTTTTATATAGCATTAAAAGAATGAAAGCAAAATAAAACGAGTTATGGAGTTTCAAGGAATATTCTAAGAACCTTGCCCTAAAAGTGTCTATAGCTATCGGTGGATCTGCCTAGCACACTCCCGGATAAGTGGATCTGCCCAGCACACTCGCAAATAAACTCTTGCTCCTGGTTGGGCGGCATGTTCTGGCGGCGGCTTTTTGGAGGTGAGTGAGTAGAAGAGCGCAAGAGCGCAGCTAACATTTAGCTTGTGGGCGCAGGAGTTGCCCGCGGATGCGACACGCTCGCGGAAACTCGAGCTCGGTGTCCAGGGCAGGGTGGCCAAGGACGGGGCCATATGTGACATAATGCATTCAGAGGGAATAACAGAGATGATGTTGCTCAAGTCGCAAGTAAATCATTCTTCCTTATTACACGTGACGTTTAATTCCATTTCATTTTTTTACAGGATTGTGGGGGTAGATTGGACAAGGTCATCAATTCTCAGGACACAATGCTGCTCGAGCCAAAATCTAAGGTAAATCACTTTTCTTGTCATGCCAGAATATCAGGTAAATCAGTATCGTTTCTGTGATGCTTACTCCTGTTCCTTCACAGACTAAGGCTGGAGAATGTTTATTCTCCACTGCTGTGCTGGCTGGTAATGCAAAATACATTCCGTGCTCAAAAACCAAGTGTGGCGGCCTTACAATGATGCGTTGTGAAAATCCGAATTGCTTAGCTAACAACGTGATGAGATGGGCAACACATGTGATGTTTAGGATCTTTCTCGGCAAGCAAATATTTTTAGCTTTTAATCTAAAATGTTTTTGTACTTTCAGAGCGGCATTTAGGAAAGGACAAACTGTCTACGTTGATCCAAAGTAGGAAATCAATGTACAACATTCCTATCATGGTATTATATTATATCATTTGAAGTTTTTAATTTTTTTTTTTTTTTTTTTAGGAAGTGCTGCAAGCTTTACAAGCAGCTAGGATTCTTAAAACTACTGAATTTGAACTTCAACATATAAGAAGTATAGTGCTTGGGGTGAGCCTTAAGTATTCTGAGTTAGGTCAGTAAATACTTTTTATATTTTTTTAGAAAAAAAATTTTTTTTTTCTACAGATTCAAGGTTGGCTGGATTGGATGATTGTTTGGCAATTTTTCATCATCATATTTTTTGAGTTTTTTATTTTTATATTTAAGTATCTAAATATTTAGGTTTAGGAATTGACATTTTATAGCAAGAATTGGGTTCCAACTTCAGTGATGATCTAAGTGTGATATGTTCAGAAACTGCAAAATGGTTGGAAGTTAAATATTTCTTTGCTACTTATGCACTATCAAAAGTTTTTGGAGATATGAAAAACATCTCCACAAAATTGTTAGATTTGAATGGTAATGTGATATGGTGTTAAACAATTATATCTGAAATATTCTTGGGTTTAGGGTAATATATGTTATAATTTAATGATGTGAGTGCATGAAACATGGAAAGGGAATACAGAAAATGTGCATATCAATTAACCCAAAAACCCTAATTTATATAGAGGAACAAGTGCTTTGGATTGAAACCAATCTAACAGCTACTAAAATCCCACTATGCTAATATTAGTATACGGCATCATAGCTGTGCACTTGGACATCACATCATCCCTTCCTCTTGGAATAATAGAAAACCATCAAGGATCTCTTGTAGATGGGCTAAGATCTGGAAGAACATCAGGAGGAGGCATCAACCAATCTATAGGTGGTATTAGTTATTCTTGATCCATGTGTATAAAGTGTTTCAACCACTGCACATGCACAATTTCTAGAGGATCAGCCTACTAGACATAATGCCAAACCTCATAACTTGTGGTCCAACTTGCCGCAACACCCGATATAGTCCTTTCCACTAAGCAAGGAACCCTTTAGATAAACCACGTATTGTAAGATGGGGAAAATGGATTAACACCAAATTATCCACTTTGTACTCCACAGGTGGATGATGATGAGAGTTGTAGCACCATTGTTGTCTCACTTGTACATGGCCTAAGTGTTCAGCAAACTTTGCTCAGATAAGTGGAAGAATGCTCGTCAAATACTAATCCCACGACCTAGCATTGGCAGCTCGCGACAATCGCGAAGGTAAACTCATCTCCGTTGGTAATATTTGATCATGACCATATAGGACTTTATATAGTGAAGCACTAACAGAACTCTACACCCCTATAACATATGCATACCGAAGACATGGCAAATAATCATCATAATCCAAATGCTAAAAGTTCAAGTATTTTATAATTATTTCTTTAAATGTCTGAATAAGCCATTCCACCAAACTGTTTAACTATGGATGATAATCACTTGTGAAAGTGTGGCATATCCCCAACCAAGACATCAAAACATAAAATGCCTCAGCCATAAATGCAGAACCATTGTCTGAAAGAATCCGCTCCGGACAAGAATGCTGGAATACCATTTGATTGAAGAGGAAGTATCCAATAGCAATTGCAAAGGTGCTAGCAAGAGCATCAACTTCCACCCAATAGGTCAAATAGTCAGAAGTAATAATAACATATTCATTGTCAACAGTTGATCGTGGAAAAGGTCTCATAAGATCAAACGCCACCAACTCAAATGAACAGGAAATTACAATTGACTCCAATTGTCCTTCCATGGCATGCAGGGGAGTATTACAAGCTTGGCACCAAATGCAGCTACGCACATACCAAATAACATCACATTGCATCTCCTGCTAATAGAAAGACTTGCACAGCTTCTCGGTCATACGATAATGTATTATATGCCCGCCTAAAATAAGAGAATGGAAAAACTGTGGAATCACCACCAGCTGTAAATAATCATCAAGATCCATCCCCACAAAATAAAGAATGCCATCTTTAAGCTGATATTGAGAATGTAAATGCCAAAATGGCAAGTCATCAACAAGTGATGTAGGATTCTTAAACCCATTTTGAAGCCCTCGAATCCATGACTCAATTGTGAGACACAAATCCCTAAGCCCCAAAGTGGAGCTGAAAAGGTGCCATGTGGTAGTGGCCGAAGCAGAAGCTAAACGAGCATAACATATTTGAACTAAAGGCTCCAACTTAAAAATTCAAGAATGGGAGTGGAACTCCCAATAGAGTGCTTAAGGAATGAGCACGAAGTGAGCAATAAAAGAGTCTCTAGAAAAAGGACACAAGAAGACCAACACATGACACGTGGAGGAGTCCGAGATGGACTCAAGGTGGACCTAAGATGGAGTCCAAGATGGACCCGAGATGGAGTCTGAGATGGACAAAGATGGAGTTTGAGATGGACCTGAGATGGAGTCCAAGATAGAGTCCAAGATGGACCCAAGCTAGAGTTTGAGATGGACTGAGATGGAGTTTGAGATGGGCCTGAGATGGAGCCCGAGATGGACTGAGATGGAGTTCGAGATGGACCCAAGATGGAGTCTAAGATGGACCTAAGATGGAGTCCGAGATGGACCGAGATAGAATCCAAGATAGACCTGAGATGGAGTCCGAGATGGGCTTGAGATGGAATTCGAGATGGAGTCTGAGATGGATCCAAGATGGACCCAAGATGGAGTTCAAGACGAGACCGAGACTGAGATCGAGATCGAGACTAAGACCGAGTCTGAGTCCAAGTTCAAGATCTAGCCCGAATCCAAGTCCTAGTCCGAGTTCAAATACTAATACAAGCTGTTGGGTGAAAGCCCAAAGTGATCGTCCCCTAGAGGGGGTTGGAGGTGCTGCAAGGGGTTCCAAAAGTATAATAAGGAGAGTGTGGGGGTTGGACCCCAATGGAGCCAGTTTGGCTAGAAAAGGCCAGTGTGGCCTAGGAAGGTTATACCCACGTGTTGGGTGATGATATAACCATTGGGAAGTCCAAGGCTAGAGTGAATATGGACAGACAAATAAGGTAGCTTGGTGAAGTTTTCAAAAGCCAACTCTAGTTCCCTCTAGAAATCGAATTGTCGATGCTTCCACTCCAAGTGTGGGTTGCACTACCTACTTAGATACCTGGCATGGCTTGACAGAACCTCGCTCTAGCCTATGGCTAAAGCACCCAAAAGCGGAAGATGGGGAGAGTACTTATAAGGCTTATGTAGGGCCACGGTGTTCTAAAATGTTATCCCAAAGTCCCAAATTGTGGAAAGGAAAAAGAGCAATCCTCTAGTGTAGCGATTAAGGATACGGTCACATAGTGAGAAAGTCCCAGAGGATAAGAGGACTTAGTGGTCGGGTCTATGGGCCTTGACCAAATTGCAGTGTTTGCAAACATGACCATGGACAGAAAAGAACTTGGTGGGGACCAAAAAAGGGATATTAGGGAAGGTTATTCCCCATATTTATGGACATCCTAAAGATGCTAAGGAGTGGTTTTGGAATGATCACTCATGGACGGATGGCTCAGTCTTTGAGTGACAGGACTGTGATATAGATGGTGTTGAACCACCAGTGTAACAAAGGTGAATGGGTATGACCTTAGCGTAACGGGCTAAGATGTTGATGGTACCTTTGGGTGTTGGTCATAGGATTGGATACGTGGAGCACTTAGACCAAGTGCAAATGTTGAGTGGCATGGATGCCATTCTTAGGGTTAGCAAGCCCCAAGTCTAGAATAGGACTTATAGAGGTTGTGAGTGAGACTCCTTCAAGTGGTCGGAGGTATGGTTAAATGACTAAAGTATAATGGAAAATTTATACTTACAATTTGGTATCGGAGCTAGTCTTGGGTCTGACTTTGTTGATTGGGTTAGAGGAATCACACCACATTTGACTGACATTTGGCAGGTCTAGTTTGCTCTAGCTAGGCTCAACCCGAGGGGTAGAGTGTCAAGAGAGCAGGGCTCTCAGGAGAGTTGTGGCTCTCAGCTTCAATTCATGAGGGCGTGAACTTGCATAGTGAATTGTAAGCAATAAAAAAGAACAACTTGAAAGATGATCCATGGGGTTTAAATATAAAGGGAAAGGGCCCATGAACAAGAGTGCACCCCCTTTTCCAATCGGTTAAGGGTCTTAAGATATTTGGGGTTAAATGTCCATAGGTTTGAATAATATTGGGCTGGTTGACCTCTCAAAAAGTCCAAATTTAAAAGCTTACATTTGGTATTGGAGCTATTCCTTAGTCCGACTTTTATTGGTGGTCAAATATATCATCACTTGTCTTGGCATTGGGAGGTCCTAGGAGTGGGCCTATCCTCGAAGAGTAGCATGTCAAAAGGACATGACTCTCCACATTAGTTCATAAGTGAACTTGTTGGCAATGTGGTGGATAGAAAGTGGCCAATTTAGTAACAACTTTGGGAGGTCCTAGGAGTGGGTCTATCCTCGAAGAGTAGCATGTCGAAAGGATATGACTCTCCACATTAGTTCATAAGTGAATTTATTGGCAATGTGGTGGATAGAAAGTGGCCAATTTAGTAACAACTTTGGGACCTTGGGAACAGTATAAGGTTTTCTTTAGAGAGTTGAAGATGTGAGGTAGATGAGCGTTAGACTTAACAAATTGACTAATGTAGTTGTGGTAACAACTATAGTTGGGATTATGGGAAAGATAAAAACTCCAAAATAATAAAGGAGTCATAACATTACCCTCAAATAGTTAAGGCTAGTGCTCATGAATTTGAGACCAGAATTAATGACTATGGAAAGTCAAATATAGATGAGGGCACGAGTCCTTGAAATGGTAGATGGAGAAAATAATCAAGTGTCGGAGTAACAATTGCAAATATGGTCCTTGTGAGTAAGACATAAATATAAGAGGATGTATTTTAGTGAATTAGCACCTCAAAATAGCTAGAAAGTTAAGAACTTACGAGTCATTGAATTAGCAAAGTCCAAAAAGCTGGATGACTTAAATGGAGTCAAGGAATAGTCCTAAAGGACTAGTGGAAGCATTTGGACTGAATTTTGCTATACCTTACAAGGGATAGGGGATTATAAGATTCAAGTATAAGAACAAAGTGCATCTCATTGATAGCAGAAGGTGCCATACTAAAGTTGTAGGAAAGGTGTTCCTAAAAGAAAGTAACTTTGGTTTAAAATTGTGTATGAACATTATGATGTAGTGCTAACTGATATTTGGCATGAGAAACAACTACTTTAGTCTTAGCAAAAACCTAGACACAAGTGGGAAGTGTTATAAAGGTAAGCTCGTGGAGCTGATGGTGTGGAGACACCAAATATGCCAAGGCATGATGCCTTGAGGTCGAGTTGGCGAGTTTATGAGAACCCCTTGCCAAAAGAATCTCAATATAAAATGGGAATGGCATAGCCTAAGCTGGAAGACATGTGGTTAGAATGTGGTAACCTAAATAATGATGGAGTGGAAGCACTAGCAATGAGTTGTAAGATTTGACAACTATGAAGCAACTAAGCAAAAAATGCAAAATAATTGGTTGGATTGGTAAAAGTTAACTACCTAAGACTTTTTATTAGGATAAAGAAGTTAGATGTACCCTTTCGGGGGATAAATTATTTATGTTAAGATATAGTAAGTCAATGTCGTAAAAAGAAATGCTCATTGTCAAATAAAGTTATCATTGGGACACCAAAACACTTTAAAACACTAGAGAGTGGTGTTTGGAATCATGAGGGTATTAGATAAAGCCCAAGGGACTAAGTCCCTAGCAAATAATGGCTAAGAAGTGTTATCTAATGTCCAAGGTTACGGAGATGAAAAACAGTCTGTCTATCCGAATTAAACAAAACCAAAAAGGGATTTTGGCATGGTTAGAAATGGGTATAAAGAGGCCCAATTGTAGCGACGTTAATTCCAATGTGTGGTATTACACAGTTAGCATATCCAAATTGAAAAACCACTTTCTAAGTGATTGAATAGGTTCATCCTTAAGAATATTTGCTAAAGCATAGTAGAAAGTGCAAAACTACCTTTTTAGATGGGAGGAGAATAACTAAAAGGAACGCACAAGGCCAAAAATAAATAGTAAAATGATAAAATTGAACTATAAGAGTTGAAGGGCATAACCAATAGTGGTTATGTAGGTTGTAAGTGAAGAATCAAATGGGTGCTCAAACATATTGCTATTAACAACTGTGATGCCATGGAGAGTTTAAAGTATAGAATTGTCCATATTAGATCATATGGCAATTAAAAAATTTGCAAAAAGAGAGATTTTAGCAAGCTAAGGGACAGAGTCCTTTCAAGGTTCCCAAAGACAATTCTAGTACTTAGAAAGACAAATGTAAATAGTTTATAGAACACGCAAAATCAGAATAGCGTAGCAAAAGCCTAGTTTTGAAGCTTGCTATGAGGCAAAGTTATCAAGGTTGGGGAAGTAATCCTTGAGTATTCAAAGAGATGGCTTTGAACGAAAGTTGATGGTTATGAATTTGCAAATCAGTCAACTTGTGAGTCAAATTACTCGTCAATTCTATACTCGATGCACTAGATGAAGCCTTCAACAGCTGGAAGTTGGCTTTCAAAGATGAGTTTGAATTTTACTAATTTTTGGTTGGTTAGGGTGGACAAAGGCACTACAATTCGATTGGCCTATAGTGTTTTTGGTTACAAGGGTTAACAATTACCATTCATGACAGATGGGTCTACATTGCCGAAGATATGGATGTGCACATATTCCTTGTTAGGAACTCCAAGATATTTCCTTTGACCTCAGGTTATCACCAGTTTTGTTGATGCAAGGGAATCAATAGGAAAGAGGTTCCTAACTATGGAAATGAGCCTATCTTTTTCTATTTTCATTAGGTGATTTCTCATGTTTATAGTGTGAGTGTTTGCTCACTTTGCAATTTTTTGTGTCCAGGGACATTTACAAGCCACAGATGAGTATGTAGTGACCTACATCAAGGAGACAGACTACATGGTACCAATCCTGCAGAGTCGTGTAGATGTTGAGGTGTGTACTTTTGTTTTTAGTTGTGCTCCAATCAAATCCTTCATTTCTAGGGCCTAGAGGAGGCGTGTAAATCCATAGTTGGAGGTCCATTCCTGGATCGCGGCAAAATTCTTATAGTAATCACCCTTCAAAAGCGCCCATGAACCCAAGCCTCCTTTTAAGCATAGTCAACTCGACAACTCTATGTCCCATCATCTCACAATGTAAGCTATTCTGATCTTTGCTCTGTTCTTGTTCTTCTTCACTGCTCCAATGTCTGGGAACCGATCCGGTGGCATTTCTAAGGGAAGCTTTAGATACATTTCCAAATGTGATGCATCTACAGACGGCATCACCCAGGATTCTTGGTGTGACTCCCCACACCAGTACATTAATTTATACTTAAAATGCACTATGGATCATAGTTTATGAACTTAGTTCTTTTGCACTACCAAGTCCTCTCACTTGACAAGTCTATGATTATGCATAGACTTTTCCATGCTTGGCCCCATGGGCCACCCTTTTTTTTGAAGTCAACACCTTCAATTAGGGTTTTTGTTTCCCTTGACTTGCCAATCTCACTTAACAAATCACTCAATTAGTGTAATATAGTTTCAGGCATAAGTGTGAAAGTCTTTAAACAAAAGAAGACATACTTGAATTAGTGCCCTCTTGATTGTTTCCCACATAAGCGTCATGAAGTGCAGCAATCATGAAAGCCATATGCTGCCTATGTGTGTCAAGAAGCAGATTGAAGGGTCCTTGAACCACGTAATACTCCATCACACAAAAACTGTAACATTTGGTTCTGTATTAGGGTTTCTGGATTAATTTAACCTTAAGATGGCAAGTTGCAAGATTCAAATTCATTAATTGCAAAATAGAAAATGTTGAGGCCTGGTTTTTTGTATTCAAATCTTTCTCTTCAGTCCTGATAAGTATTCCAAATGCAAAACTGGAGGAGGTGAAAAAGCAGTAAACACGAGTACTATTTAGTTCACACATAGCTAGATGTCTGGGACAGCTTGCAGGTATACTTGCTGTGGCAATAGAAACTCAAGGCACAGCATATGACAAAGGCTATAGTTCCAGAGACCAGGGCGGCCACCAAAATGTCTTGGATCCCATCATCACTTATAGGATGAGCAATATTTGTCAGAACTGGTGGATCAGCAGCAAAACACTTGGTTGGAAGTGGCAAGCCACAAAGTTCAGGATTTCCTTCAAAGCTTCCTCCTGTGAAAGTAAAAAACTGTCCTCTTTGTGGAATACGGCCAGACAAGTTGTTGTACGAGACATTGAAGAGAAACAGGAATGTGAGCTGCGAGAGCGAAGCGGGTATACTTCCATGCAGAGCATTCTCTGATAAATCCAGGACTTGCATACCCTCAAGGTTGCCTAGAACTTCAGGAATCCGGCCACTGAGATTGTTGTGTGCAACATCCAAGATCAAAAGACTGCGCATGAGTCCAATTTCTTCAGGAATCTCTCCACTCAGCTGGTTATAAGAAAGCTGAATGATGAGCGGGCTGCTGATGTTCAACACGTAAGGTGGATTAATGTTCAGGGGAGCAAAGCAGCCAGTCCTTGCAAACAAGTGCTGCTCAAGATCATGAAGACGGATCCCGTGTACAATAAAGAGCATGTTACTGCCTTTGCATATGGGACCAGGTGTTCGTGCAACTACATACATGCTGTCAAGTCTAGCCTGAACCACAATAGACCCGGTTATTTCAACTCTGCTGAACTTGCGACCAATTCTACCAGGTAGTTTTCCACTGAACGAGTTGCTTGCAAGCTCCATCACGTACAAACTCTTGGATCCATCCATTTCTTTGGGAATTTCACCCTCTAAGGAGTTGTTGGTCAGCTGTAGACAGACCAAGTTATCTAGCTCCCCAAATGAAGATGGTATCTCTCCAGTCAGATAGTTGCTACTTAAGCTTAGCCACCAGAGTTTGTGCAGACCAGACAGCTGAGTAGGTATGCTGCCATTGAGATTGTTGTGACTGAGAAGAATAGTAATCAAGTCGACGCAGTTACCCAAGGTTGACGGAATGGATCCCTGGAGGCCATTCCCCCAAGCATGTAAATGCTGCAGCTTAGGAAGGCTGTTGCATAGCTGGTCGGGTATTCCTCCAGTTAACTCATTAAAACTCACATCCAGCAACTGCAACCTTCGGCAGTTGACTAGAGAGTCAAGTAGTGGACCGGTCAACCTGTTATTGGGCAGGAGCAAGTTCCTTACCTTTGAATCAGTGGGACAGATGTTGCTGCTTGTTTTGGTGAACATGTTGGAGCTGAAATCCAAGTGCTTCAGATTCGCATGGAATTTGGGTAATTCACCTGTGAACGAGTTGTAGCTTGCGTCCAGAACTTCAAGAGACGAGTGTAGTTCCAAGTTCTTAAGCCCCAACGACAATAAAGGCAGCCCTGAGTAGAAGTTACTAGAGATATTGAGCACTTTGAGTGAAGAGCAAGTTGAATCGCTGCTGTTGAAGATATTTCCAGAAAGTCTGTTGTAAGAGACATCTAGATGTGTCACGTTGAGACATGGAACTGCTAGCTCGGTCAGAGAATTTGATGCAAGAATAAGCCGCTGAATGGTGTTGGAGTTTGAAAACTCTAATGCCTCGAAAAAGTTGTTGCTTGCTAGATTGACATCCTCTAGAACGGGGCAGTGGGTAACCATCTGCGCTGGAACACTTCCAGCAAATTCATTGTTTGAAAGATTGAAGAAGTGCAGGCTGTTGCAACTTTGGAATAGGGAGGATGGAACTGTGCCATTGAAGTTGTTGTTTGAAAGGTCGAGTGTCTCCAGTGTCCTGCCAATCACAGAATTGGATCCAAGTTCACCATCAAGCTGGTTATGGGAGAGATTTAGCAGCCGTAATGAGTCTTTGCAGTGGAGCACAAGCTCTGTAGGAAAACTGCCTCGTAAGATGTTGTTAGACAAGTCAAGTACCTCCAAATCACAGCCTGGCAAACTTAAATTGCTGCTCAATGGTTCTGCAAATTGGCTCCTTGAGACGTGCAGCTGACGGAGGTGAGACAGCATCTGGATTGTCAATATCAGCAAATCGGAACTTGGTAGTGTTAAAGATTGAAGATGGAGCCCTATGACTCGGCCTTGTTGTGAGGAACAATCCACGCCTTCCCACTCGCAACAACTCACAGTCTTGTTCCAGCCTCTCAATGTTCCTAGTGGATCTCTGACACCATGTTTCAGCCGTAACAGTGCTGCTGCTGAATCAACTGATGAACTGGTCTTCCCATCTACAACCGTCATAAACACGATGAGAAGGAACAGGAGGGAGAACATGGTAGGACTCTCACTCAGCCACAGAAAAAACCTAGGCTAGTTGAAACAAAGGTATCCAAGTGACCTGATTATGAAAAACCTTAGGCTGCAGAAAAACTAGACTTGTCTATAGGTGACTTGACTTCATGACTTTGCTTGTTTCGGCGATTTTGAAAACTTTATTCGTACTTTAAAATTCTAGAATTTTAAAGCACTCATAAGCTTTGTCAAGGTCTTACTTTCAATCACTTGCATTCCATTATAATTTGGGATTGCATGCATTTGCATTGCAAATGCTCGATAGATAAACTACTTTGTCTAAGACTATGGATGCTAATACTATAGAAAAGATTTATATAAGCACAGATTTTAGAAGTCAAGTCAATTTTGAGAAGTCAAGTCAAGTCATGTCTTGGCCACCGCAGCGGCAATTTGGGCCACCTGTCAACAAAGTCTCTCTTAGGAACAGATTCCGATGTGACTTTCATATATTTTCATGATCTGTCCAAATTATCTGGCTGAATTTTGTGTGTTGTTGATGGTTTGATTTTTGGCTTTTTGTCTTGATGTTGAGATTTTTGACATATTGATGGCTCCTAGCTGCCATAGGGTTTTCCTTCAACGATAGAGGGTTGCAGCTGTCCCTATTGACAAAAATAATACTGGCTGTTGATGTATACTGGCTCATGCAGGAGTATGGATACCACATCAGTGAGGCTATGTCCAAATTTTATTTCAAGAAGGCTAAACAGGATTTCAGAAAGTATGTGACTCAAGACAAGGTCACATACAAGATCGAAGTTTGAGTAACTCATGAAAGAAATTTCACCACCCAGTGGTTAGTTGTATTTCCTGTTTAGAAATGAGAAAACTGGAATGAAGCTCATTGTGCTGCTTGTCCCAAGAATGCAAAGAGCAGTTATCAAGTTGAATCCCATGCTAGGCTCTTAAGTATTAACAGTCCGCTCAGAACAAATAGACACCTCGGTTAGAGCAATCACTTCTATTGTATTACAATTTGGATTGCACACATTCAGAATGATAGAATGCCCTCTAGTGGAACTCCCAATGAAGTGCTCAAGGAATGAGCATGAAGCGAGCAATAAGCAAGTCTCTAAAAAGGGATACAAAAGGACTAACACATGACATATGGATGGGTCCGAAATGGACCTAAGATGGAAACCGAGCCTGAGACCAAGACTAAGACCGAGACCGAGTCCGAGTCTAAGTCCAAAACCAAGACTAAGAGCGAGTCCAAGTCCAAGTCTGAGTCCAAATCCAAATACTAATATAAGCTGTTGGGTGAAAGCCCAAAACAATTGTCCCCTACGACAAAAGTATAGTAAGGAAAGTGTGGGGGTTGGACCTTAGTGGAGTTAGTTTGGCTTAGAAAGGCTATACCCATGTGTTGAGTGATGAGATAACCACTGGGAAGTCCAATGCTAGAGTGAATATGAACCGACAAATAGGGTAACTTGGTAAAGTGTTCAAGAGTCAGCTTTAGTTCCCCTGGGAGATTGAATAGTCAATGCTTCCAGTCCAAGCCTGGGTGGCATTACCTACTTGGATATTTGGTGTGGCTCAATAGAACCTCTCTTTAAGCCCATAGATAGAGCACCCAAAGGCAGAAAGTGGGGAGAGTACCTATGAGGCTCACGTAGGGCCATGGTGTTTCAAAACATTGTCCCAAAATCCTGGACTGTGGAAAGGAAGAGGGGTAGTCTTCTAGTGTAGTGACCAAGGTTATAGTCACATAGTGTGGAAGTCCCAAAAGACAGTGGGACTTAGTGGTCGGGCTTGTGGGCCTTGACCTAGTGGCAGTCTCAGCAAACACAGCCATGGACAGAAAGAGACTTGGTGGAAATTAAAAAAGGGATATTGGGGAAGGTTGTTCTTTATGTTTGCAAGCATTCTAAGGATGCTAAGGAGTGGTTTGGGATGACCACTCATGGACAGACGGCCTAGTCTTTGAGAGATGGGACTGTGATGTAAGTGGTGTTGGACCACCAGTGTGGCAAAGATGAATGGGCATAGCCTTAGCATAATAGGCTGTTATGTTAGTGGTACCTTTAAGTGTCGGTCATGGTGTAGAGCACTTGGACTAAGTGCAAAGGTTGAGTGGCAGGGATGCCATTCTCAGGGCTAGCAAGCCCTAAGTCCGGAATAGGACTTATGGAGGTTGTGAGTGAGACTCCTTTAAGTGGTCAAAAGTGTGGTTAAGTGACTAAAGTAGAATGGAAAATTTAATTGCTTACAATTTTGTATCAAAACTGTTCTTTAGTCCGACTTTTATGGGTGCTCAATTTTATCACCACTGATGTTGGCATCGGAAGGTCCTAGAAGTGGGCCTATCTTTGAGGAGTAACAGCTCAGGAAGACATGGCTCTCTAATAAAGTTCATGTGTGAACTTGTAGGCAAGGTGGTGGATAGAAAAAGGTCAATAATGGAACGACTTTGGGATTTTAGGAACAGTATAAAGTTTTTTTCAGAGAGTTGAGGATGTGATCTAGATGCGCATTTGACTTAACAAATTAGCTATTATAGTTGTGGTAAACAAGTATAGTTGGGATCACAGGAAAGATAAAAACTCCAAAATAATAAAGGAGTCACAAGATTATTCTCATATAGTTGAGGCTAGTGCTCATGAATTTGAGACTAGAATTAATAACCGTGGGAGGTCAAATATAAATGAGGACACAAGTCCTTGAAATGGTAGTTAGAGCTACCCTTTTATAAATGCTAAAACAAACCTAAAGAGTTAGGGGTGTATTTAGAGGATAAGTTGGTATTTTCATTATATAGAAAGATAATCCTAAGGGGCAAAGATAGCCCACATGAAATAGAAAATAATCAAGTGTTGAAATAATACTTGCAAACATGGTCCATATGAGTAGGACATGAATACAAGTTGTATTTCAGCGAGTTGGCACCTTAAAAGTAGAACCTTACAAGTCATCGAATTAGCAAAGTCCAAAAAGCTAGATGACTCAAATAGAGTCAAGGAATGGTTCTAAGGGATTGGTAGAAGCATTTGGACTAAAGTGTGTTGTGCCCCACAAAAGATGGGGAGGATCATAAGATCCAAGTATGAGAATAGTGGGTATCTCATTGATGGCAGAATGTGCCATACAAAAGTAATGAGAAAGGTGTTCCCAGAAGAAAGCAACTTTTGACACAAACTGTGTGTAAACACTATAGTGTAGTGCTAATGAATAGTTGGCATGAGAAACAACTATATTAATCTTGGCAAAAACCTAAACATAAGTAAAAAGTGTCATAAAGGTATGTTCATGGATCTGATGATGTGGAGACACTGAATGTGCCAAGGCATGATACCTTGAGGTCAAATTAGCAGGTTCATGAAAACCTCTTCCAAAAGGAATCCTGATAAAAATGGGAATGCCATAACCTAAGTTGGAAGGCATGCAATTGAAGTGAGGTGACCTAAATAATGATGGAGGTATGGAAGCATCAACAATGAGTTGTAAGACTTGACAACTATGAAGCAACTAAGAAAAGGTGCAAAATAATTGATTAAATTGGTAGAAAATAACTACCCAAGATTTTTTATTAGGATAAAGAAGTTAGAAATACTCTTATAGGGGATAAATTGCTTATGTTGCCATATAATAAGTCAATGTCGTAAAAGGAATACTCATTGTCAAAGAAGGCCATCATTAGGACACCCAAACACTCTAAAACACCAGGAAGGGATGTTTTGTGTCATAAGGGCATTAGATAAGGCCCAAGGGACTAAGTCCCTAGCGAATGATAGATAAGAGGTGCTATCCAACATCTAAGGTTGTGGAGATGGGAGAAGTTTGTCTATTCAAATTGGACAAAGCCAAAAAGCGATTTTGGTAAGGCTAATGATGGGCATATAAAAGCTCATAAGTAACAACGTTAATCCCGATGTGTGAGATTATAAGGTGAGTGTACTAGGATTGAGGAATCACTTTCTAAACTATCAGATAGGTTCATCCCTAAGAATACTTGCTAAAGCATGGTAGAAAATGTAAAGCTACCCTCCTAGTTTGGAGGAGAATAACCGAAGGAAATGTGTGAAGCCAAAAACAAGTAGTAAATGGATAAAACTGAATTATAGGAATCAAAGGGCATAACCAAGGGTGGTTGTGCAAATTAGGAGTGGAAAATCACATGGGTGTTCGAACATGTTATTATTAGCAACTGTGATGCCATGGAGAGTTTAAAATATAGAATTGTCCATGTTAGACCATATGGCAATTAGAAAGCTTATGAAAGAAGAGGCCTTAACAAGTTGATAGAGTTCTTTCAAGGTTCCCAAAGACAATTCTTAGCTTAATACCTAAAAAAGCCAAAAATGGTTTATAGAATGCACAAAATTAGAGTAGCACAGTAGAAACGTAGTTTTGAAACTTGCCATAAGGCAAGGCTATCAAGGTTGCGGAAGTAGTTCCTGAGTGTTCAAAAGGATGGCTTTGAATGAAAGTCGATGGTCAAGGACTTTTACGTTTATGCATAAAACTATGTTACGTTGGTCAGATGGCTTGCTAAGCGAGATTGGCAAGTCGGGGGAACAAATACCCTAATTGAATGTGGGCCAAGCATAAAGGAGTCCATGCATGATCATAGATTTGTCAAGTGAGAGGATTTGGTAGTGTGGAGGAATTAAGTTCCTAAGCTGTGATTTGTAGCATGCTTTAAGTATAAGTAGGTGCACCAGCGTAGGGAGTTACGTCAGACACTTTGGATGATGCCGTTTATAGATGCATATATGGAGGTTGAGTTTGAGTCCCAACCCTCTAATGCTTGGGTTTGAGTCATAACTCACTAGGGCGTGGTGATGGGTTGGAATATAAGGACACTTATTTTTCAGTGGTCATAAACTCTCAGTGAGGAGA